GTGCTCGAGTACCTGCCCCCCCTCCCCCGCCCACGCCCACGCCCACGCCCACGCCCACGCCCTTCGTCTCCCGCGGTCGCTCTGGGGATGAATCAAAAAGGGCGCTTGGGTTGGCACTGCCATTGCTGGGTGACCCACTTGCCCCAAAATGCGAACCCAGGGGGCCCAAGAGCCGCAATTACAGGAGCGACTTGAGAAGGGGCCATGGCTGGTTTCAAATAGTGCGAGAGCAGTGAGCCCCCAGAGGGCTTCTCCATAGCCAACCCCAGGCCTGTACCTCTGGCACCACCACCTTGGGGGTTTCTAAGTCAGAGCTTTCCTCACATTGAGTGAGAAGCTGGGAAGTAGCAGAGCAAAGGTCTGATGACCTTTCATCCCTCCCAGGTAGTAGCTGAATCTTGTGGAAGAAAAACTTTGGGATCTGCTTCAAAGATCCAAATTCCTACAACGTAGAGAGATTCAGGGAACTGAGAATTTAAACAAGCTGGTGCCGATAAGCGAGGGAGGCAGAAAGGGAACCCAGGAGATAAACACCCTTGCAGGCAGCCCCTTGGTTACTGCTTTCTTCTGCTCTCTCCATACAAATGCCTCCAGAGTCACTTGTTAAAGGCAGAAATCCAGCCTATTTAGTTTCAGTTCTAGAGAGATGCCTGGAACAATTTCTTCCAGAATTTGTTACACTGGCTTAGCAAACCCATGACCATTGTTACTGGCAGCAACTAGAGACAAGCTCAGTATTTTTGCAACTATTTTTCTGTTTTAAACAATGTTGTTGTTTTTTATACACAGAAACTTGTATACTCAGGAATTTTTATAAGATACCTACCCCACATCTCAGCAGCAGACCAGTCTGACTCATAGCAAGAACCCCACTGTGTCTGATGAGTTGAAACAAATGTGGTCCACACTCCCCTTGCATAGGTGTATTGGTCTGAGATTATCCTATATAATAAAAGGCTAATATGCAAATAGACCAAACGGCGGAACAACCGAACAACCAGTCACTATGATGTGCACTGTCCACTAGGGGGCGCACGGAACATGGCGGGTGTTGGCAGCAGGCGGCAGAGCAGGGGATATGGTGGACATCGGCCTCGGCCGGATGGTGGAGCAGGTGAGCGGGGGCACCAGACCAAGGCGGGGCGCCAGTCGTGGCATTGGGGCAAGCCTCTAGTGGTTACTGAAAATTCTTTGCTCCCTCACCCCATGGTCCCGCCTGCCGCTCGCACCCACTGCCGGTGCCAACCTCAACTGCTTCGCACTGTCAGCAGGTGCAAGCGGGGTCAGCGCCATCAGCGCCTGGCAGCGGCGGCATTGGGAGGGGGGCTGCCAGCAGACAGGGAACCGGGGGTGTGGAGGGAGGGGCCGGGCAGGGACACAGAGGATGGGCTGAGATCCACCCCTATGCCCAAGGCAGCCTGGCGGCCCACAGTTCCTTTCAAGGTACACGAATTCGTGCACTGGGCCCCTAGTCCAACTATAAGAGCCCACAACTAAGTGCTTTGAATCCTGTGTTTACAGACCTTCGTCATCATAGCTAAAGTTAAAAGAACTCTGACCATGAGACATTTATTCAACAAATATTGATTACCTGTCTGCTATGTATAAAGCCTTTGACTTGCAGTAGATTGTTGTTCGTCAGAACCGTAGGAAGGAATAGCGCTATTCCTGTTCTGATTTAACGGAGGAAGAAACAGGCTTGGCAGGGCTGCCTGACTTGCTGGCGAGATCACACAGGTGGTAGTGACGGAGCCAAACCGAAACCCAAAGCTGCCTGATGCCAGAGCCATCCTTTCAAGTCCTCGAGCCAGGCTCTCCCTGAACTGTCCTGCCTCTTGTTCCAGTTCAGACAATGTTCAGTTAAAGTCAACCACACAAATCGCCCTCAAAGATCATTTTTAATGCTTCTAAGTATAGAACCCATATTCTTCCAAAGTCTAACTTGGATTTAATGCAATGTAAGTAACAACAAAAATTAAAGTCGACATCATTTTTAAACCCCTATTAAACAACGATTTTTAGCTAATTATAACAGTTAAGCAGACAAACGCCTGTTACATTCAACTTTTTATCAACAATATTGAAGATAGTGTGGACACATCGAGAACTACCAAAGGAGATGGGACATGGTGGAGATGGACTCCCGCTGAATCCATAAGACACAGACCTTTGAAAATTGGGCCAGGAAAAGAAAAGACTCTGACTTGGTAGTTACAATAGAAAGAATGAAAATAGAAAAGACTCTAACTCAGTAAGTGGCTGAGAGAGGCAGAATTTGAAGGAGGAAATGGTAATGGGTCAAAGCTAGGTGTGGGAAGAATCCAAATGGCAAGCCCCTCAGAGTAGAATCTGGTGACAGAGTTTGGCTTATGAAAATCATTTCCCCCAAGATGACCTGTCCTTGAGAGTTTGGAAAACAAAGCAATTCAGAGAGACAACAGGTCAACCTACAGGGTTCAAAGGCCCCTCTGCTGGGAAGTTCAGGACAGGACTGCTCCCTCCAACAGCAGGAAGCACAAACAACTGCTCACTGGTAAACAATAATGACCATCCCTTTAGGTCCGGACTCAGGCCCGGCTATTTCTGCTTCATTAGCCCTTTCCTTTTCAAATTCCAGAGCGGTCAGAAACTGCAGAGTGCGAGGAGCCCTTTCCCAGAAACTGCCATGCAAATGAGCCTGTGGGTGAACCATGTGCTCAGAAATTCAAGGGCAATGAGATTCAATCTTATCTGACTTTACCCACGGAGACTGAGGAAAGTTACCCAAATGGCTTGGGCAAGCTGCCCCTCAGACAGACTACCGAACTGTTTCATTCCTGAAATTCCAACAAAAATAGTGAGCAGAAACAACATGAACATAGGGAGCTTTCTGGTGATCTAATTTCACAGCCTCCAGAACATCACTTTGTGTGTATATAGAACAGTGATGGCGAACCTATGACACACGTGTCAGAGGTGACACGCGAACTCATTTTTTTGGTTGATTTTTCTTTGTTAAATGGCATTTAAATATATAAAATAAATATCAAAAATATAAGTCTTTGTTTTACTATGGTTGCAAATATCAAAAAATTTCTATATGTGACACGGCACCAGAGTTAAGTTAGGGTTTTCCAAAATGCTGACACGCAAAAAAACAAAAGGTTCGCCATCACTGATATAGAATAACGACCCCCAAAGGTGTCCATGTCTCAATGCCTGTGCCCTGAGACTATGTTCCCTCACATGGCAAAGGGACCGTTTCCGCTGTGATGAAGCTAAGGATTTTAAGATGGGGAGATTAGCCTAGATTATCTGAGTGGGTTCAATGTACCCACTGGGTCCTTACGAAAGGGAGGCTGAGGGCTCAGAGTCAGAGATGGAGATGTGACAATGATGCAGAGCTCAGAGTGACTTTGGGCCACAAGGCAAGGTATGGGGGCAGATTCTTGGAGCTGGAAAAAGAAAGAGATTTGCCCCCAGAGCCTCACATCACAGAGGGTCACGGATCTGCCAACTCATTTTGGATTTCTGATCTCCAGAACGCCAAGGTAATAAATGTGGGTCATCTTGAGTCACTAGATTTGCAGCAATTTGTTACAGCAGCCATAGGACATTAATACACTTTCCCAACAATAAACTACTCCAACGCCCCAACAGCTGATGCATTAAATTTCATAATTAAATCATTATAATTTAAATGTAAATCCCCGTAGGAGGAATAATGGCTTTTTAGCCTTATCGTGCACTTTTTTTGTTTGCTTGTCTTGTGGGGTATTTTTTTTGAGGGGGTGGGTATATATGAACTATCTCATCCTTTTCTGAAAGTTTGAAAGAGAAAGAATTCAGGATTAAATGAGGCCAGAGAAGTACCTGTAGGGGAGGCAATGATGTCTAGAGAAAAGAAAGGGAGGGGAGGAAGCCACTGGAAACATTTTCTATTTCACCATTTTGCCTGGGCTTGACCTTGGGTTTCCCATATGCATTGCTCTCTCTCATGAACCAATTCACTGCCTCCTGATGCTCAACACCATTGTTCACCTGATGGCTTTTGCCCTTGCTGTTCCTTTGGCCTTTTTTTTTTTTAATTGTTTTTGTTGATTTTTAGAGACAGAGAGGAAGGGAGAGAAAGACACAGAGAGAAAAACATCCATTGGTTGCCTCCTGCTCGAGTCCTGACCAGGACCTTTTGGTGCATGGACCAGGCTCAATC